TTACTCAACTTTTATTAATTTTATACTCTCTTTAAATATAAAATTATTAAAAACACACTCTTTCTCTCTTCAAAAGTATCAACTATTTGATACTCTCTCTCCAAAAATACTCACTATCTCTTNTNTTTANTCAAATTTTATTNATTTTATATTTCAATACACNCNATTATTTNAATCAAAAACACTNTCTTTCTTCTTTTTACTCAAATTTTAATAATTTTATATTTAATGATATCCACATTGTATCACTACTACTTATACTCTTAGTTTTTAGTAGTATTTATGTGTTTAATGATGAGACTTGAGTGAGGTTCATAAATGGAATTGATCTCTGGGAAATTGAAAACTAAATGGAAATAAAGAAGAAGAAGAAAGGAATCGAAGACAAGACAGCATCCATAAATCACAAACCCAAGGAATACCTTTGACAAGAGACGAGATTAGGATTCCGTCGAAGCTTCTCCGTCTGCAGCAAGACGCCGAACGAACAAGGAGGCAATCTCAGATTTCCGGCTTCGATTGCGCTCAGATCTCTGACTTCGTCGAGGCTTCTCCGTCGGCGACGTCGACTTCGATCTCCATTAATGGACCTTTCTCGTCGCCTCAAATGCAGAGAAGAAGAAGAAAAACGAAATGAAATTTTTTTTTTCATTCTTGGGTCTCGGCCAAACCTTGCTCCACTCAGAACTCAACACCTGTCCCCAAAGAACCGTTTCAGTTGTTTCAGTCCACTGAAACGTCTCAAGCCATTTTTCAGCCAAAAATTAATATTTTTTTTGTTTTGGCTCATGAACCTCTATTAAACTCACGGATAAACATGCTCGGAGAGAGGCAGAGAAAGCGACAGAAAAAGAACCTTTTTATTTTATTTTAATATACTTGTTATAAAAAAAATAATCACTTTCCGAAAACAAACCAATTTCTTCCTTCTTATTCTTCCCACCGGATCTTCGACCAAATTTCGTTCCTTTTCCTTACTCTGATCCGAACTGTTCCTGAATCTGATCGTGGATTGAGAATGGCGAGGAGTAAAGTGATTAGTGGTCATGGGATATGGAAATATTTCAACCCATCTTATTATCTCAGAAGGCCGAGACGTCTAGCTTTGCTTTTCATTCTCTTCGTCTCTGTTTCCATGGTCGTTTGGGATCGCCAAACTCTTGCTCGAGATTACGAGGTACCTTGTATTGTTCTCTATTCAATCTCGATATTAGCCTCTTGAATCTGATTTAGCTCAATTGATAGACGCTAATCTAGTTTGGTGTGGCTCAAGCTCTTGAAGCAATCCAATACAATCCTTACATTGAAGTAGAGCCTCTGTTTATTGAAAGAAGCTATATTATATTTATCTATTCCAAGGAAATGAATCATGAATGTATCTTATGTGACTTTTCTTGCACTTGTGTGTTGCAGTTTGAAGTTTCCAAGTTAAATGAAGAAGTTTTGCGGTTGCAGATGATGGTAATCTAAGCTATTTTATTTTCCCTCTTAGCCTTTTGATTAGACCCAAAAGACTTCTTTTTCCTCCTTTTTTGCATCTGCTTGATACATAGTGGTTGTTCTCGATATTAATGTAGCGTTATGGTGTCGGGTTATGGATTTTGTTTTGTAAAGACTATGGTTAACACACCCGCTTATTCGGTCTTGAGAGATTTTAGGACTTTTTATCACAATCTCAACTTTATTGTATTTTCTGCTAGTTAGAAGAGGTTAAAATCATCGCGGAGGATGTATCTGTGAAGAATTTGAAGGATGATGTCCAGGAAAATCCAGTTGATGCCCAGCGAATGCAGAGAGTAAAAGAAGCAATGATTCATGCTTGGAGTTCGTATCAAAAGTATGCCTGGGGACAAGATGAGCTTCAGGTACAGTTCATGTTTATTTCAGTGACAACAATGGGTTCTAGATATGAACAATGATCTTCAAATATGGTGCCTTCTTTAGAAATTGTATGATTATCTGCAACGCAATCAGATTCTGTTAAGTTTCAACACTTTTCAGAGCCTTGCGAGTATTGTGTTGTTTAACTAGTTAAAATGAGAACAGTTTCTGCTTGCAATGATATCTGTTTATGAAGCTTTTTTTGGTGCATTATCAGCCCCAGACAAAAGATGGCGTTGACAGCTTTGGTGGCCTGGGAGCAACTATGATAGATGCATTAGATACACTCTATATAATGGGTCTGGATGAGCAGTTTCAAAAAGCCAGAGAGTGAGTAGATTTCTTCCATCCTCGCCATTTTCTAGGAAGGCCTCTTTCTGGCATGACTAATTAAAAAAGAGCTTGTCGCTTCGTATTGAGAAAATAATTGGCATGCTATTGAAATCCGTATCACTTGAATTCCTAACCTCTTTCATTTAAAGAAGAAGTGGACAATATACAATAGAAAAGACTATTGAATGTTTGTAATGTATCTGTTGTGCAATGTGTACTTTTGGCTGTAAAATAGAACTCATACGAGTAGCCTGTTTCAAGATGGTATAGAAACTGTTATCATTTTCTGGCTATAGCAAACAATCATCTTTAATTTTTATCTTCTCCAGCCTTCATTTGCTTATTGGTTTTCATTTGCAGGTGGGTAGCAACCTCGTTAGATTTTGACAAGGATTATGCGGCCAGTATGTTTGAGACAACTATCAGGTTGCATTTAACAGGTTTACCATGTTGTGTTCTTACCTGTAGTCAGAAGAGTCATCTTGTTTAGGTTAGTTGTTGGTAGGCGCTAACAGAATATGTGGAGTGGAAGTGTTGCATCTGCGCTTATATCTTTTCTCTTTTTTTTTTTGCTTTCAGAGTGGTGGGTGGGCTTCTCAGTGCGTATGATCTTTCTGGGGATAAACTTTTCCTTGAAAAGGCTAAGGATATTGCAGACAGATTATTGCCTGCATGGGACACTCAATCGGGCATACCATATAATATTATCAACTTGAGACATGGAAATGCTTACAATCCTAGATGGGCAGGGGTAAGTTCTAGATTACTTAAAGCCCTATCTGTCATATTCTATTCACCACTGGTATAAGCCATTTTTTTCAAGTTTTTTTTTGTGAAAAGGATCCCAAACATGTTTCTAAAGGAATGACTTATAGGCTACTGAAAATTTTAGATTTAAGTTCCTACCACTTTCTTAGATGTTTCAACTGCCTCAAATGTGAATATGAACTCACCAGGATTGAATTGTTATGCCTTTTCACTTCATGTGATAATTAGCATTCTTTTTGTGTCGAAACTGCTTAAGGGTTTTGCTTGTAGATATCATGATGAAATAAAGCTTATTAACTAACTAATATTGTTTCACAAGCAAACTAATGTTCAATGTTTATGAATGGGTACCATCTGATTGGTTTAGATAGATAATCAATTACATGAGACCTGCCAGTTTAGTTGATTGTTTACTTATTTCCTGTACTAGGGAGACAGTATTCTTGCAGATTCTGGTACTGAACAGCTCGAGTTTATTGCTCTTTCCCAGAGGACAGGGGATCCAAAATATCAGCAAAAGGTGCATTTTACTAGTAGCATTGTTGACTTATCATATCAGAAAGATAGTGATGTTTATAGATCAATAAATGTGAATATAGATTTCCTAGCTTTTTTTTTTGGGTCGTAACTTATTCTCTATACTTGTATCATATACTGATTAGGTATTGGAGTTGGTTGATAATATGTCAGGGTACATATTGTCATAATGCTTAAGAAATCATTTTGCAACTCAATGGTATATTGTTTGTAACTCGTGTCTCAGGTAGAAAAGGTTATTTCAGTACTAAATAAGAACTTCCCTGCTGATGGTTTACTTCCAATCTATATAAATCCTGATACTGGTAATCCATCGTACTCTACCACGACATTTGGTGCCATGGGAGACAGGTCTTGTGTTCAACTTGATGCATTTTATATTGCTGCTCATCTGATCTCTTCTAGTTTTGCTTTGGTTTGATGTGTGACGGCTGATATTTTGCATACAGCTTTTACGAGTATTTGCTCAAAGTTTGGGTTTTTGGGAACAAATCTTTGGAAGTGAAACACTATAGGCAAGTTTTACTTTTACCTACTGAGTATATATATATGTGTGTGTCTTATAAGTCAAATGAGAAAGTGTAATATTGGAAAACTTGATGATTTAATTCAACTCAGCCAATTGCAACCAGCTGCCATCACATTTATCATTCTCCTTGATATCTATGTTCTTCTTTTCTAGCCAAATAGAACATTAATAACTGTTATTGCTTGAAATCTTGGCTTCAGAGATATGTGGGAGAAATCAATGAATGGTCTGGTAAGCTTGGTTAAGAAATCAACACCTTCGTCGTTTACATATATCTGTGAGAAGAGTGGAAATTCTTTGATCGATAAGGTATACCTGTCTGTTCATCGTTTCCATTGAGATAGGTGAAAAATTGCATTGCCTGGTGCTTCCGATCTCATATTTCTTTCTCATCTATATCAAGATGGATGAATTGGCATGCTTTGCTCCTGGAATGTTGGCTTTAGGAGCATCTGGGTATAATGATCCTGCTGATGCAAAGAAGTTTCTTTCACTTGCTGAAGAGGTAAAGTGATGGCTTGAATGACCTTTGTTCATAGCTATATCAATAGGTGTTTCAGATTTCCCCAGAGTTTCTGCCTTCGGGTCTTAAGCCTTTATTGCTATTGCAGCTTGCATGGACATGTTATAACTTCTACCAATCAACACCAACAAAACTGGCTGGGGAGAATTATTTCTTCAACTCCGGGAATGTATGTCATTTGCCTGTCTTTTCCAAATGCATTGTTTATATTACGAGTATATTAGTTGTTTAGTATACAAATCACAATCATGATGATTCAGGACATGAGTGTTGGAACGTCATGGAACATCTTGAGACCAGAAACCGTTGAATCACTGTTTTACCTCTGGCGGTTAACTGGCAACAAGACATATCAAGAATGGGGATGGAATATATTTGAAGCGTTTGAGAAGAACTCACGTATAGAGTCTGGATATGTCGGTTTGAAGGATGTAAGCTCTCCTTAGGCTCCTCATTGTTAAAACTTTGTGAATTGAATTATACCATTCCACCATCCATAGCATTAGCCCTAACTTTGTTATCATTGTCCAATTCCAGGTTAATACAGGCGTTAAGGACAATAAGATGCAAAGTTTCTTCCTTGCTGAGACGCTCAAGTATCTTTATCTCCTCTTTTCGCCCACAACGGTTATTTCCTTGGATGAGTGGGTTTTCAACACAGAAGCTCATCCACTTAAGATTGTGCCCTGGAATGGTCAGGTAAATATTGGACAATCCAACAGCTTGCAGCTACACAAACCGACAATTCGATTACGCCAGAGAGGACTTGGTCGGATAACAAATAAGTAAGCTCACTCGCTCGAGGGGTCACAGTGTGAATCTTTGGAACCGGCGTTGTTATTGTAAGGAAATTTTCTTAACTGGTATTGGGATTTATTCAAAGACCATTTTAATTATGGTCTTTGTTTATTCTCATTCAAGGAACCATTTTAAAAAGATTTCAAGATAGACGCTTGTTGTATTAATTGGGACAAATAACCATACAGGTTTGCCATAGTGATACGCTTATACCTTGTGCTTTGTTTGTACCCCTAGAATATAATTTTGAAGAGTATTACTTTTTTTTTTTTTATCAAAGGAAACCATAAAAGATTTGCAATTTAGATATCTTGTTAGGGGGTGGTATTGAATCTAAGAATTTAATAGAATCTAAAAGAATTCAATTGTAGAGTTAAACAATAGCTTTCGAAGTGTTTTATGGGCTTTTAATGTATTTATCAACAATTCTACGGTTTTCATATTTTGAGCTTTTAAAAGCATGCAATAGAATTTAGGAGAATTTAAAAGAGTTACGAATTCTTCTAAAATCCTATCAAATCTTGAAATATAAATTACTAGCGTAGTACCCGCCCCATGGGCGGGACATTATAAACTTATCAATATATCATGTGAAACATTATTATATCATCAATTTTTAAAACATCAAAAGGTATTAAACCATAACTTGGGAGCTTAAACCCTACG